TACGTAGAAGAAGAAGTAGTGGTGGTGTAGTAGTAGTAGTAGTAGTAGTAGTAGTCGTAGTAGTAGTAGTAGTAGTAGCAGTAGTAGTAGTAGTAGTAGTAGTAGTAGTAGTAGTAGTAGTAATAGTAGTAGTAGTAGTAGTAGTAGTTATAGTAGTAGTTATAGTAGTAGTAGTAGTAGTAGTAGTGGTGGTGGTGGTGGTGGTGGTGGTGGTGCTGGTGGTGGTGGTAGTAGTAGTAGTAGTAGTAGTAGTAGTGGTGCTGGTGGTGGTGGTTGTGGTGGTAGTAGTACGAGCAGGAGCAGGAGGAGGAGGAGAAGGAGGAGGAGAAGGAGGAGGAGGAGGAGTAGGAAGAGGTGCAGGTGGAGGAGTAGGAGAGGAGTAGGAGTAGGAGTAGTAGCACGAGTAGAAGTACGTAGGAGTAGTAGTAGGAGTATCATCCCTCCGTCCTCCCAAACTATTACTTCTCTCCCTCGATCCTCTTCATTGTCCCCTTCTTCCTTCTTCCTCCTCCTCCTTCTCCTCCTCCTCTTCCTGAGTATCGAGGGTACGAGCCGTTCTGAGCCTCCTGGGGCGACCTTTGAGGCCCCAGGGCGGGGCCTTGGGCCGATTCTGAGGGCAGGAGCCCCGACTCCTGGGGCGACCTCGACTATGTCGCGCCCCGGCACCGGAGGTTTGGCGTCGTTTCCGGCGCCCAGGGGCCGCTTGTGAGAACTCGGGCGTAGCAGAAGGTAAGGTTTTAAGTTGCTGGGGCGGGCGGGGTAGGTGCCCGTGCTCCTTCTCCTGCCTGCTTCGCTGTCCCTCCTTCCGCGGCCCATTAGGGCGAAAGTTTCCTATGGGGCCTTCGAGGCCCTCGGCACCCTGCGGGCTCCTGGGGGCGGCTGGGAAGCCACGCAGCCGGGCGCCGCGATCGCGCGGGGCCGGCGCCGCTGGCCCAACGGCTGGGCTGGGCGGCGTGGCGCCCGAGAGCAGCAGGGAACCGAGGTGCTGCCGCGCGGGCGCCGAGTCGGAGTGCAGCTCGGGCTCAGAGGGCCCCGAGCTGCGCAGATGGCCCATGATCATCGGGCTGGTTGCGGCCACGAGTCTCGGTCGATGGGTCAGGGGCGCCCCGCCGGCCCTCCCGCAGGCAGCCGACGCCGAGGGCGAGGACATGCGCCTGATCCTGGACGTCGCGCGCGGGCTGGTGCACGGGGTGCAGGGCGCCGGCGAGGAGGACAAGCTGCTGTCCCTCGCGGAACGCTAGGGGCGTGGCAGCCGAGTGGCCCAGGGGAGGCCTGGGCCTCATGTCGACGGTGCTGGCGGGGGTGGACGTGGCCTGCCAGGAGGCGGGAAGTGGCGAGGGCCCCCGTCCAAGGCGACGGCGAGTCACCCAGTGGGCGGCAAGGGGCGCGGCGCCCAGCCGCAGCCGCAGGGGGGAGCCACGGGCGGGAGAACGGCGCCTCGGTTGCGTGAGGTGGCCCCGGCAGTCGACGAGCGGCAGGAGGTCGAGGAGGATGCGGCGCAGGACGGAGGGCGGTTTGCACGTTGGAAGGAAGCTGCCATGAGTCAGGAGCCGCGACCGGAGGACTAACCGCCGCCCAGCGAGGATGAGGACGAGACCGAGGAGGCTTGGTTGTCTTTCCAGCATTTGCACTTCGCTTTCGTGGGCACCTGGATCTGCTTGTTCAGCGACTGGGGGCCCACAGGATGGCAGCGCCTTTGGTCAGGAGGAGGAGGAGGCTTGATTGGACGAGCGGTGGTAACCGTGGGGAGGGTCGCGTGCGGCGGACGCTGGGCCATCAGCCGCCGCTGACGATCCTGGCGCCGTTGATGTGGATGTTCGAGTACTGTCCAGTCCCGCGGGCGCCCGTGCCAGGAGGAGAGGTGGGCGTCGAGGGAGTGATGCCAGAGCCGCGTGGTGGTCCAGGGGCGGCGATGCTAGTGGGCGATCGCTTGTGCGCCCAGCTCCGCGCGCGGGATGCGAAGTCTCGAGCGCGCCACCTGATCATCAAGGTCGGCGACGCGGCGGCGCGGCTCGAGCGCCCTGCTCTAAGCTCCAGTGTTGGAGCCCGAGCGGTCAGGGTGCACGTGGGAGTACACGGTCGTGCTCGGATCGATCGACGTCGGAGATTGCGGACGCTGCTGGAGGAGTCCCAAGACAGAGGATCCATCTGTTCGGGGATTGCCCGTGCTCGGATGGCGGGGACTACGCCGCGCTCGTCTCCGCCTGCGGCTGCGTGACGGAGGAGACGGACGTCAAATTGGAGGCCCTGGTTGCCGCGTCCCCCCCCCCCGAGTGTTAGGCGGCGTGTGCAGTGGGCGCCAAAGCTTGGGCATGAGCAGAGGATGCGGCGCGCTCGGACTGAAAGGCTGCGTCAAGCTGTGCAGCGCGTTCCGTCCGGGCGGCCGCGCTGGATGCAAAGATCGACGGCCCCCGTCAGACACGCCGACGGAGTTGATGCGGGGCCCGAATTCGGAGTCGGAGTCGGAGTCCGAGTTTGGGGGCACCAAGTGCATCGTCCGCGAGGTGCTCAATCAGGAGGGCGACGCGATCTACCAGCTGAGTAGGGAGACGTGCCGGGATCGCGCTCGCGGGGGCGCGTGCAGCTTCTTCGCGAAGATGGCGGGAAGTCGAACATCCGTGGAGGCGCGTGCGCGGCGAACCTGTGCTGGCAGTATAACAACATGTACCAGACAAGGTGCGGGGTCAAGGAGCGCGCCCGGGTGGGATGTGTCTACCTCGGGCGCGTGCTCCGCGACGGCGTGCTGCTCTGCCCTTGCCGCGACGCGGCTGTGGCCCGTCCGCCGCAGCTGGGGGCGCCGCGTGCAGTGGCCCAGGACATGGCAGAGAAGCGCCAGGTGCCGACGAAGAAGGCTGAGGAGAGGTGCGCGCCGCCATCGCGGGGATCGGGCCGGGGATCAGCGAGGCCCTGGGGGTGGGGGAGGGCGCCCCCGCCGGGCGCGGTCGCCCACCCCTCCCGGGCCGACCCGGGGGGTGAGGTTCGAGGATGAGGGGCGCGCCGTGTGCCCAGAGGCGCCACGGTGGGCCCTGCGGGCCGGCTTTTCCTGAGCGGAGTTGGGCCTGCGGGTCAGCAGTGCGGCAGCGGAGGCTTGGAGACGGCGAGGGCCCAGCGCCCTCGGGATCGAGCAACTCAAGACTTGCCCGATGTCGCGGAGGGGCTGCAGCTGTCAGAGGGCTTTGACGACCTGGGTCACGCGCGCAATGCCGTCGGCGAGCCTTGCCCGCCTCGGGCGGGGAGTGCAAGGCTTCGTGGGGATGCACGAGCTTCGGAGTCTCAGGAGGTTGGAGCCCATCGAGCACGAGCGTCGAGGAGCGAACCAGGCGGCGGTGCAGGAGGAGAGCGGGATGGCTGTCATGCGGACACCCATCGGGGAACCGCGGCCGCCGCGTCCTCCCCTGGCGGAGCCTCCCACGGGTGTGGCGTCGACGTCGGCCCTCGAGGTGGGGTGGCACCTGGGCGTTGGTCGCCCGAGCAGGGGGCTGTGGGGGCCACCTGAGCTGGGGCGCAGCAGGACGACCGAGCTTCTGGCGCGCCCGCCCGCGCCGCGGGCGGGCCTGCCCGGCACCTGGGCGCCCGGCGCCGCCCCCGTTGGCGTTTGGGGCTGCCGGGCGGGAGGCCCCGAGCGAGCGACGACGGCGAGAGTCCGGGTGGCTCGGCCGCCAGGATGCCGAGGGGGTCAGGGGCCTCTGGAGATGGGCCTGGAGACCTCGGACGCGACGCGGCCGCGAGTCTGCCGGCCAATCGTTTCCTTTCGAAATGCCGCAATTTTGGCCATCAGGGGGCGCTTTGGGGCAGCATCTTGGAGCCTTCATACAGCGTCTTGGGGGCCTCTTGGGTCGTCAGGGGGCCGTCTCGGGGCGTCTTTGGCCCTATTGCGCTGCTCTCTTCGCTTACCCGTGCTCCCCAGAGGGCGTTTTCTGCGGCCGGAGCGGCCGGGGGGAGGTCCAGAAGGCCCTCAGGGGGGTTGCTCGAAAGGGGGGGGGAATCCGGGAAGGTATGCCAGTCCGAGGCCCGGGCCCCAGGTACCCCAGAATCTTATATATATATATATATATATAGAGAGAGAGAGAGAGAGAGAGAGAGAGAGAGAAAGAAAGAAAGAGAAAGATAGAGAGAGAGAGAGAGAGAGAGCGAACGAGAGAGAGAGAGAGAGAAACAAAAAGAGATCGAGACATACTGTGTGTGTGTGCGTGTGTGTGTGCGTGTGTGTGTGTGTGTGTGCGTGTGTGTGTGTGTGTGTGTGTGTGTTCGCAGCGGCTGGCGTTGCCAAGCGACGTGGGCTCCGGCTCACCCATCATCGCCGCCGCCGGCGTTGATCCGTAGGTCATCACCCTACCAATCTGCCGCGCAGGTCTGTTGGGCGAGCCACGCCACCAATCTGCCTAGCAGCAATTTCTCTTTGCGCTTCACTATATATAACACCGCTCTGGTGAATCAGTGGCCGCAATTCCCTCGGGCTGTCGCGCTTCAATTTATTTTGGGTTGAGTATTTTCCTTGTCTTCTGGCCGCTGCATGTTTCGTTTGGACTTACAGTTCCTCTAACACACCCATCGCTTTCATTTCAGTGGGTGACTCTACGCTGCGCTATCGGCAAGGTTCGGTCGCAATTCGTATTTCCATCTGTTGTTCGTGCTTCAGTACCCTCAGCGCCGCTGACATACATAGTTTTGTCTGTGTGCGACTTTACATGGTGTCTATGCATATTCGAGTTTACATGTATGTAGACGTATATATATTTATACATACATATATATATATAAGAATGAGGCAGCAACAGCAACATATATATATATATATATACATACGAAAGAGAGAGAGAGAGAGAGAGAGAGAGAGAGAAAAAGAGAGAGAAAGAGAGAGAGAGAGAGAGAAAAAAAGGAGATGGCCTGGAGGAGGGTACGCCTCGGCTGGTGCCCCTTCGGTTGGTCTGGCCAGTCTTCGTTGTCTTGTTGTCTGCTTTTTGCTCGTCTTCCCTTCTGCCTCCCCAGGGGAGCCCAGCATGGCCGCCGGCGAGGAGGGCCACACCGCCGCCGGGGCACCAGGCGGCGATGTGGGAGGGAGAGGATGAGGATGATGATGGTGGTGGTGGTGGTGATGATGATGATGAGGAGTCGCGATGATGATGGTGATGAGGATGGTGATGATGATGCTGATGCTGATGTTCCTGTTCCTGTTGTTGTTGTTGTCGTCGTCGTCGTCGTCGTTGTTGTTGTTGTTGTTGTTGTTGTTGTTGTTGTTGTTGTTGTTGTTGTTGTTGATGCTGCTGATGATGATGATGATGACGCTGATGGTCACTATTATTCTTCACGCTTCGCGTATCCCCACCAGCCCATTCACAAGCCCTGTCCATGAGAGCTGACGGCCGGAAGGGATGGAGAGACACACACAGTGAAACAAAGGGCAACTGGGGTGAATATAGAGATCTCTGGAACAAGGGGGTGGTCTTGGAGGGCCTCTTCGTGCCATCGAGTAGGAGGAGAAGGATGAGGAGGAGACGGAGGAGAAGGTGCAGGATGAGGACGAGGAGGAGGAGGAGGAGGACGACGACAGCGACGGCGACCACGACGACGAGGAAGAGGAGAACAAGGAAAAGGAAAAAGATGAGGGCAATGACGAGGACGGAGGAGGAGGAGGAGGAGGAGGAGGAGGAGGAGGAGGAGGAGGAGGAGGAAGAGGAGGAGGAGGAGGAGGAGTAGGAGGAGGAGGAGGAGGAGGAGGAGGACAACGAGGACGAGGACAGAGCTCTCAAAACGCCTCTTGGAGCCCTCTTGGGACTCTCTTGGGGAAGCTTAGGGGCTCTTGGGGTCCTCTTGGGGCCCTTTTGGAAGCTTCTTCGGGGTCCCATGGGGGCCCTGGAGGGCCTCTTGGGGCCATATTGGAGACCATCGATCAAAGGGGGGGTCCCAAATTTGCGCCCCCCTTGGGGCCATGACAACAACTTCTTGGGACACTCTTGGGACACTCTTGGGGCGAGCTTGGGCGCTCTTGGGGCCGTCTTGGGACGCTTTTGGGGCGATCTTGGGCGCTCTTGGGCGCTCTTGGTGCCGTCTTGGGACGCTTTTGGGGCGATCTTGGGCGCTCTTTGGGCCGTCTGGGGGGCCTCTTGGGCCCATCTTGGAGGTCTCCTGGGCCGTTTTGGGGCCGCCTTGAGGCCTCAGGAAGCGCATTGGAAGCGAAATGATGAGAAGACACCAATCATGGATCTTCTCTAGGTGTTTGAAGGAATTTTGCCTCTTGGGGGTGTCCTGCAGGGGCTCCGAGATTACTTGGAGCCGTCTTGTGGCCCTCGTCTGGCCTCTCGGAGGTATGTCGCAAGCCTTGGAGGCCATCTGGGAGCATCGGAGGCCCTCTTGGAGCCATCTTGGGCCATCTTGGACGCTCTAAACGGTCGCGACCCGCTCCAAAACACCTCAAGGGGCAGGTCGACCTCCCCGAAGGGAAGATGATTTTGGAAGAGGGAAGGACGATATCGTTAGACCACCTCAGCCCGATGGGCTGGTGGGAGTATGGTGATGGTTGTGGTGGTGATGATGAGCATTCTGAGCATTATTATGATGATGATGGTGGTAGTGATCATCACCATTCTGATGGTGATTGTGGTGGTGATGGTGATGATGATGATGATGATGATGATGGTGACGAGGAGGAGGAGGAGGAGGAGGAGGAGGAGCCCGCGCGTGGCTGCGCCGCTGCTGCCGTCGCGCGTTCCGTCGTTTTCTTCCTGCGCTCTCCTGCCCTTCGACCGATCGGCTGGCCGACCGATGATGATGCTGCTGCTGATGATGATGATGATGCTGATGCTGATGCTGATGCTGATGCTGATGCTGATGATGATTCTGATTATGATATGATGATGATTATGATATGATGATGATGATGATGATGATGATGATGATGATGATGATGATGATGATGATGATGATGATGATGATGATGACGATGATGATGATGA